CAGGTCTTCCCAAAGCACAATCCACATAAACGCAGGTCGTAGCCTGGGCATACCAAGCAATTGTATCAGAGCCTTTACAGTAATGGTGAAGCAGCATGAGGTGTCGATGTCGGGAAGCAGGAATTCCAACGGGACGTACTCCATGCTTCGGCTACAGTTGTCGCAAAAGACCCCCGATGTGAATGCCAACGGCGTGGACTTCACGAGGGATCCTGCCCACGTCACACTGGTCTCGACTGAATTCATTTGGTGGGCTAACACCTGGATAATGGCGTCGCTCACAACTTCGATGCCCGTGACTTGATAGAATTGCAACGTGAGCGCGAATGGAAACGCCTTGTGTCTCGCTTGGCGGCCGGGGCCATGTGACCACATCACGATGGCCTTCCATTCAAGATATGGATCTTTTCACAGCAATTATTGCCAACTAGTCTGGGGGTGTCATGCAGTGATGGCAGCCAGCAACGACGGTACGTGCATTCTAACGACGTGCTTTTTTGCATGCCTGTGATCGGTACAGCCATGTCGACTACGTACAGTTTCTCTCGCCTCAAGCGCGCTTCCAAAGGGATTGCATCAGCCCTTGAATCGACGTCGAGCCTTTGAATGGGCCATGGAATTACACCAAACACCCACCGTGACCTTGACACTCGCTGCATCGGCCAACAAATCCACCGACAGCTCGCTCTTGTTGGGTTCACAACTCAATGGCAGCCATCGAGAGCATCGTCCAGCCATTATGTGACACGACAGAGGAAGGCTCAACGGCGCAACCCTCCTCGAACTCTTTAGTAATCGTCGGCACGAGCTCACCATCGGTGCTCAGAGCCAAACCTGACACGATGCCTCCATGTGTTCCCATTGGCGTGTCATGTCCATGCGTCCTACCGGATAATTCAAGAGGTTTATCCGGATTTCTCGGCACGCCCCGCTGTACCGACGCTCTGGGCGGTCTGCGCAGAAGTGGGTGGAGACTGTCCCATGTCACCGTCGCGTGGCTTGCCTTGGATGCCCATGCCGGCCGTGGCCGACGCGCGGCACTAGCGGCGTGTGTGGACTGCATGCTGTCCAGTTCGACGAACAGTCGAGCGAAAGAGGTGGATTGAATATGGGCACGTGTTTTAAAACATTTGTTTTATACAGGTCTTCTGCAAGTTCGAGTCATCATTCGATTTGCGCTGCGCACAGCACACCCTGCCGCCGCGATGATGCTCACTCGCCTTACGTCCGTCCGCTCCATTAGCCGCACCGCTTGTGCGAACGCCAAGATTGCCAACAACATCACGGAGCTTATTGGGAAAACCCCGTTGTTGTACCTGAACAACGTCGCAAAGGGGGCGCATGCGAAAATCGCGGTCAAGTGCGAATTCATGGAACCGTGCGGGAGTGTGAAGGATCGCATTGGTATCAGCATGATCGAAGATGCTGAAAAAGCCGGCATCCTCACCAAGGACTCGCTTATCGTGGAACCCACGAGCGGCAACACGGGCATCGGCCTTGCCTTTGCTGCGGCCGCCAAGGGATACAAATTGCAAATTGTCATGCCCGACTCCATGTCAATGGAGCGCCGCATCATTCTCAAGGCGTTTGGGTGCGACCTGGTATTGACCCCAGGTATACTCCCATTTGTCACACCCCTTCATCCATTCTTCCACCTACTCAAAGAACTCTTGCGAATTCGATAGGTTCGCGAGGCATGACTGGCGCCTGCCTGAAAGCAGACGAAATTGTTGCCAATACGCCCAACGCCATCTTGTTGCAGCAGTTCAAGAACGCTGCAAACCCGCGTATTCATTTTGAAACGACAGGGCCTGAGATTTGGAAAGACACCGATGGGAACGTCGACATTTTCGTCGCTGGCGTCGGCACCGGCGGCACCATCACTGGCACGGCGCGGTAGGTGCTGTCAGATTTTTGTCTTGGACTCTTCCCGTCTACGCCATCTTGGGAAATCATTGCTGACGGAATGGTAGGTACTTGAAGCCCAAGAAGCCGGACGTCCGCATCGTAGCTGTCGAGCCGGAAGAAAGCCCCGTCTTGAGCGGCGGCAACCCTGCGCCACACAAGATCCAGGGCATTGGCGCCGGCTTCGTCCCGGAGATTCTTGACCGCAGTTTGATCGACGAAATTGTGACAGTGAACGGCCCCGAATCCATGCGCATGGCCAAACGGTATGAACAGACTCTAGTGGTGCTCGTCCACATCCTCGAGTCGTTTTTGATCCATGCTTTATGGCGTAGATTGGCTCGCGAAGAAGGTGTTTTGTGCGGTCCGTCTTCGGGCGCTGCAGTCGTGGCTGCGCTGCGACTGGCGAAGAAGCCCGAAAACGCCGGCAAGCTGATTGTGGCCGTCTTGCCGAGCTTTGGCGAGCGATACTTGAGTTCTGCGTTGTTCGACGAAGAGCGAGAGAGTGCCACGCACATGCCAACGACGTCCATTGAATAATCGATCGACTTCGTGATAATGTGAGAGAGCGCAGGCGTGTAGGGGTGGCATCGAGGGGTTTCGAGGTTGCCATGCACCAAACCGTCTGAATGAATGCGAAATTTGGACCAATCGAATGCTCGGGTTACGAATGGCATGTCCTGTGATTGGTGGGATTGAGATCTTGTCACAAAACGGCGCCACGGTCCAAGGAGGTGCACGGGCTCTTGGTGGTCTGCGCACGGCGAATCCTGCCACAAAGCCCACACAAGGGTGTGGATGCTTCAGCGCCGATGGCCGATGCAGTTGCTCCAGCGTGCGTGCAGGAGCATGCCACACTAGGCATTCACGTTCATCTATACATTCCCCTTGGTCGAGTCATCACAACCCACATGGCGGTCACAAACACAATCCGATCATGCCTTTCAGGTTTTCATGACGGTCCTTGGTTTTGATTCCCGAGGTTGAGTGGTGTGGAGGAACCGAGTGCATTCTAATGGGTAGTGCGGTTCCTTTCGACGACGTGTAGGATTCGACGTACAACTAATTTTTCAATCCCCCGACTTGAGCCATAGATTGCTCGAAATCGTTCGATGGTGGTTGTCCGATGCGTCTATATTCCGGCCTATTATTTCCGCCATCGTTTCTCACCTACGCTGCATCGTGCCAAGTCCCGTTCGCCAAGTCTGTCCATCGCGTTCTTTTCCGCTTTTCAGCCCGCGTCGTGCTTCCATCCGTAGCCTCTTTCCTATCGGTGTTTGTACGTTGTGCGCCAGCGAGGCTGCCAAGTGCGAGTGCCTGGAACCCTTGTACGCGACAACGTCTGCACTGCCGTTGATGAAAGAGGGACGGCAAGACGTGTTGGCCTCGCCCACCGTGATCTGCTTCGAAGTCACAGCTAGACAAGTCATCGTGGGATGCACCATCTCTCTGTGTTTTTTCAATTCGACCCAATCAACTTTGACGACACTAATGTCCCCGTCGGCCAGGAGGACGAACGATCCCCCCACCGATTCGTGGTCGTTCTTCGGCGCGCTCTTTGACTGTGTCACGCACGAGCTTGCCATGAACAGGCAAGTTCAAAGTGACTTTTCCGACACTCGAAGTTGCCGTGACACATTCCGCATCGAAGGGTTGAAGGGGTCGGGATGATTTGTCGGCAACTGCATGGGCGGCAGCCCTGGACTTTATGACAACATGCGGCGTCGAGAAGATGGAGACGCGGTTTAGCAGCACGAGGGACCACTTGGCTGTTGCTGCGCCGTCACAGCATTCCACGCGACATCTATCGGGTCCATGTTGAGTTGGCTGCTCTAGGACGTGACGTGGTCGTCCTTGGCGTGTGCTGTCTGCGCCGTCGTCATCCCGCACGGCCACGTGGAGAAGGCTATCATGACGTCGTTTCGTCGGGTTAATCACGTCGCTACTGTGAATCGGGCACCCGTTTGTACAACTGCACGTGCTCTGTACGATCGAATATGCGACTACCACAATGCTGACGCTGGCGGCCCAAGGGCATTGTCTCGTACGTGAAAGCGCCGCCACGGCCACGGTACACCGTCGACAATACAGTCGCGATGGAACTCAACGGCGTGCGTTATGGGGACAGCAAATTCCCACACGGCCGACACCCCCTACTTCAGGGCGAAGGTCACGACCGAGCACCCAGTGGTTGTTTCGGTGTCAGTAGTGGCACCCTTCACCCCTTGGCGAGCTCACCGAGCCTCTATTCCATTGAAATGGCTTGCGAATCTGACCATCAACTCAACGGGACGGACGTGGAGCTACCTCGTGGCCATGGAAAGCAGAAGTGCAGTTCAAACCAAGTATTCCTTACACCACTGCATGGTCCTGTCCGCGCAGACAGAGTTGTGATGGACTTGCTCTGAATGGCTTTGCGCTGATATCACAGAGCGACCTCAGGCCGGCCTGGTCGCAAGAGCTTGCCACCACAAAGTCGTGGTGTTTGGTGTGCAACTTCGTGCCATAAGAGTCGGCATTGGTTCGGTGATCCTCATTGCGCTTTCCATTTAAAGGACACTCGCCTTGGCGCACTGGTCACGCTGTGTGCGAGGGTAATGCATGGGATCTGAAGCCCCTGAAAGTCAGTACTGTCGGCCGCATTGTCCCGGCCCAACTTCATCGACTATGATGGGAGAAATTTGGATGAGGGAATTTCGACCAATGGATGAACATTCATCGAGAAAACTTGAATTTTATCCAATCAAATGATAGATAATCGTCAGAACTGCGAGCGACCTTGGCACACTATTGCCTTCCATCAAACACTGCGCAGGCTCACTTCAACACAGCGCCGGATGGACCATGAACCGTGCGAGGAGCCGATTCCACAGACCGGTGTTACCTCGGTGGGGAGTGCTGTACTCGTCGAGCACTGGCCACCCAATGCAGTAGGCACCTCCACGGAAATTGCTTGGAATCTGTCGCCAACGGCGTCATCTTCGACTACCTTGTCCTCCCCACTGGCCCCTGAGGACGTCGTTCCTCAGCAAGTCGAATCCCCGCACAAGAAGCAAAAGGTTGGCGATGAAGAAACAACATCCCAGTCTCATCTGGCATTGTCAACTCCATTGGCAGAGCCGGTCAGTGTCCATGACTTGTCCCGGACAACGACAACTGCCGCGATCGTCCCATCTACATTGCAAGACCCCGTACAAGCAGTCACAGCAGCTGCAATGCCTAAAGTAGGGCTTTCCTCTCTCGAATCACTCTCTGCGCTACGTACCCCGATACCAGAAAGTTCGCCCGTTGCCCCCACGAGTCCCAGCAAACCAATACCAAAACTTGCGACGTCCTCCAACCTCATGATGCACGAAGAGTCGTGCGCCACTCCAGTGACCCGACCAGTGGCATCTCCTTCGCCGTTGCAAACCTCTTCCATGGAAGATGTTGCCATGGAGGACGATGGAAACAAAGGTGCTGTGACATTGCCTCCATCCGACGCTAGTAACCACGCGGCGCCGACAAGTCCCATCGAGAGTACAGCGGTTCCTGCTGCATTGACGTCGGTCATCAATTCGGACGCCGTTCATGCAGACGTTCCAGCGGGATCCATCAACAACGAGTTGTCTGTACAAGCCTCGTCGACTAGTACCGACTCGCAAAGCAACGGGGTCGTGCTGATGGCATCTTCGGTGTCGCGGGAGTTTCGACACTCCGAGGACTCTATCGAGGTTCCCCGCACCGAGGACGATGCTTCGAGTTCTACTGCGCCAGTGGCCGTAATTCCAATGGCCTACCCATCTCCGTCAAAAGGCTCAAGTGAAGGCACGGAGCCATCGCAGACACAGGTCGAGCCACGTGTACATTTGACCACCGGTGCGGCAGCTGTGAATGTCGTGCCAGCGGAAGCCTCCGCAATGCCCACTGCGTTGGACGAGCCTGCCACCTGTGGAGACTCCACTCTCTCGAATACCGTCCCTACAGTCATGGCGGAATTGCAAGAGTTGTCGGGCGCCACGTTCGCTGGCATTCAAGACTTGCCAGCGCCGCCTGAATCCCATGACCATCCGCAGACCGTCGCGCTTCGCACGCCATTCGAAGGTGCAGCTGCGATAGATGTCACGGAAGTAGTCGTGCACGGGCAGAAGCTGCATGAGGCCGTGACTTCCACGCAGAACGAGTCCACCCCAACACGGCAGGTCAGGAAAGAACTGGCGTCTGCTCCGTCGACCGTCTCGCGGCCGCCACGAGGCACGAACCCCGTTTGGATTTTGGACTCTTCGAGTCCACGGAAGCAATCAACGACCCCACTCAACGAAAAGGGCCAGAAGCGCCGTTTCAAGCGAAAGCGACAACACGCAGCAGCCATCACGGGCATGTCAGAGGATGGGAGGGACAGAGCCTTGCAAAGAGCGGTTCCAATCGAATCGAATGGCCGCGACAACGACGGTGAAGCCAAGAGGACACGGCAGCAACCACATGACAACATCGAGATCCGACCAGAACAGCACCATAACCTGGCATGGAGCGATGCTGCGGTGAAGGAAAAGGCTCAATCGACCAGCACCGAGGTCGTGGCGTCAGCTGTGTCCACAAACGACTCGAATGGGAAGGCAAAGAATTCATCTGCAGATGGGACGTTGGGCAATCATGTCGACAAGGTGAAGCCCAGCAGGCGGAAGAAGTCCAAGTCATCTCCGGCACCGCGCGGTCCTTTGGCCCAAGATAATGCCATCGACTTGACGGCCCCCCTTGAGGCTCGAGGACCTCCGGTGGAAATCGTAATCCACGACGACGATGACGACGACATCCCTGTGACCTCAACTGTCCAACTCGGCACCGATTCCACGACGCTGTCGCGGCAGGGAACGAGCTCATCCAGCGACAGTCGTGTGGTTATGGCTCCCACAAAGGCCACGGCGCCGTCGCGAGCGCATTCGTCCACTCGATCAAAACACACGCCGAGCGGAAGGCGACGACGTGGCCGACCACGTAAACTTGTGGACGAACCTTCCGTGGCAACTTTGAATCATGACGCTACGGTGCCAGCAGTCATCCTCATTCACGATTCAGACGATTCCGACAGCGCCAACAATGTGCCAACAAACGAAAGCCCGAGATCATCCAGCATCCCTCCAAATCCAACCCCTCCGCTTGCTTCACTGGAAGATCTGCTCCCGCCACAGGGAGTAGACGTGCCCGTAGTCGAAGGAGGGCAGCCGACAGCCCCCGCACTTGTGGACGATGCACAACGAAATCGCATCTTAGGCAATGCAGTCGAAGCCCTGGTTGCCGACATGCCGCTGCCACTGGGCGATGACTTTACCCCCCTGGTGGATGCGGTGACCCTTGCCGCGCTGTCCAATGTGGATTCCTCTCGTGCCATGGTGAGTTCTGTCCTGGATGGACTGCCCGAAGACGACGACATTTCAAACACACTGAGCCTTGCCTTGGGCGAAGATGCGCCGGTTGCGTGTGCAGCCGCAGCGCAAGGTGGCGACTCAAGCGTGCCAGAAGACCAGGACATCCACACAGAACGCAGTGCCGCACAAGTGGAAGAGTGCTTCACGTCTGTAGAGTTGTCAACTGCACAACCTGCCGTCGAGGAATTATCGCCGCAATCGTTGGAAGCCATGCCTGCTCCAGTCGACAACGGTGACATGCTGCGTGCGTGCAAGGATAAAGTAGAAGTTGCGACGGAAGAACATCGAGTCGATCAAGCGTTGGATTCAACCGTCGACATTACTGAAAATGTGGACGGCATACGCTTTCTTGAGCAGCAGCCTCCATCTCCAACAATTGTCCAAACCCTCGCTCCAGCCCAAAACAACGTGGTTTGCCAGAGCTCTTCTGCAGTGGCAGATGCACTATTGTTGCTGCCTGAAGGTCCATTGCCCTCAGCGACGCCACCGCTCGATCCTACTGAAGAGACACCGGCCACCGTGTACAGCAGTTGTGTGTCGAAGCCATTTTTCAAAGCTGAACCCACTGTCGTTGCAACCACCATGGCCAAAGGTGACGACGAAACAGCGACTGGAGTCCCACATCAGCGAAAGCGCAAGAGAGTCCCTGCTGCCGGCCCTGGAGGCGACCAGATCGACTTGCCGACCGGCGAAGCCAAAGAAAGCGCTTCAAGCATTGGCCCAGCAGACGACGAAATGTCGTCGGAGGGGTACTTGAGCGAGAACGATGTGGGTGATTCCGATTCTGAAATTGGTGATGGCAAGCCCGACGAAGCAATTCGCGACGACGACGGGATGCCATGTCCGTCTCCCTCGGCCCCCTTCTTCCCTGGCCCTCGAAAAGAAGTCATGCCCTATGTCGGCACCGAACCCGAAGCGTCAGCCCAGGCTGCCCCACTGGCCTCGCCACAACGTGACGAAGTCGATAATGCAGCTCCTTCGCCAGACAAACCTTGTCAAGTTACTGAGAAAGATGCTGTCGGCGCCGACGCTCCGCTGCCGTCCTTGTACGACCGTCCCCAGTTTCCATGCAAAGAATTGCTGATTGCGGAAGCGTTTGACGAGTCGGACAAGAGCATGGAGCCACACGAGAATGCAAGCGATTCCGATGACGACAGTGCGCCTCCACCACCCCCTCCCAGCCCGCAAGTGCCCCCGCCCCGAAGGCTGCCTCTCGTAGACCTCACGAATACCCCTCCGCCCGCATCCCCCCTTCGGCTACAGGCGAAGCAACTACCGCCGCACATTTACAATGCCAACCCCCCGTCCCACGCTTCCGCCACTACGTCTTCATCGTCGTCGTCGAACAGCTCGTCCTCGGACAGCGAAGGCGATCGCCCGGTGGCCCCGCCGGACCACCCCCATCGATATGCCAAGCAAGTTGCCGACCTCCTCTTGTCTGAAAACGAAGGCGACGACGATGAAAACGACGAAGACGACGTTGAATTCGGAGGCAGCGACGAGCCGACCGACCAAGTCGACTCGGACAGCAGCGATGTGGTCTTTGTCGGCGTTGTTCCAGCAGCTTCGTCTGGTCCTGCCGCAGCCGAGCCGCATGGCCGTCCACTCGAATCCGTCCACCCCGTGCTTCGAGGCATGTACCAAGTAGCGGCGCACGAAGCCACGTGGACAGGAACGTGGGGCTTCACCGAAACAACCGCGTCGGCCCCGACCAAGTTTACGTACAAGTGCATTGCGCCGCACTGGTCGTCCCACGACCTTCGCGTGCCCATCAATGGCGTGTACAACGGGTACTTTGTCATGATCAGCGACGGGCACGGCCGCCCGCACCGTGTGCTCGAGCGCGGCGTCCACCTCGAGTTCACCGAGCTCGCGCCGGGATCATATGTGGTGGATGGCAGCGGCCGCAACAAGTTTGGTCCGTTTTCCCTACGGGGGTACTATCAATGGGGGAATCCCTTGACTCTGGTCAAGGTGTACACCCGCCCAGCGTAAATGTCGCCAGGATTCGATCGCACGTCGTAACTTTGGAATGTCGATGCGTGCTCTGCGTGTTGGTCAGTGTATTTCGTTACGGAACAGGCGACTCGGCCGCGATCGACGGCTTTGTCGAGTCGGCGGCGTCGTGGTCCAAGCACATGGTGCGCACCCAGCGCCGTCGACGGACGCTGCTCCCGGCCTTTCGAGCGTTCGACTTGCCTTTGGCCAAATGGTACTTGAAGCGAGGAAAGTCGGTCGCATAGCTCCACCCTTCTTCGTCGCATTCCGTGTACTTCATGTCGACCTTCCACTCGGACGTCCATGTCCAGTGCCGTGGGCACTCGACTTTGTTAAAACTGAGCTCCTTGTCGCCTTGGCGGTTGGAAAAACGAGGGCGGTCCGTCGGCCAGAGGTAGTTGGGGCCCCACTTGCCAAAAATGTGCATGCGCTGGTTCTCGAAAATCTCTTCCAGCGCCACTTCCTCGTCCACGATGCTGCTCATTCGAACGAGGGAAGTGCGCATCTTTGCGAGGGCCGCCGCATTCAGTCCCGCACCGGGCGGCGGCGTCGTCGACCCTATTCCATCGAGACAATCCCGCAAACATCAAAACGTCGACGCACCAGTCGCGTCCCCTTGATTGTGCATCTCTTTGAGCAAACGAAACCACAGCACGTACGACTCGTACGTGGCCGTCTTGGTTTGCGACAGAATTTTGCTCTTGAACATGCACCCGCTGGAGAACGGAATCGCCAAAAACACCTGCACGGCCCCATGATTGTGACGCCACCACCACGCCACCGTTACCTTGACAGCGATGCCGTTTGAAGCGGTCTTCGTCAGTATCATCGAGTGCTCGACGGTAAAGATGTCGCCGTAGGGAATGTCGTGGAGCTGCACCTTGGTCTGGAACGTCACTTCCGACGGCGCCGGGTCCTTGGTCACCCAGTCGTAGCCCGTGCAGTGCCACGTGTTGGTGGTCATCGTGGACGCTGGGCCGATCGGGGCATGTGTCAGGCTGCGGAACGTCACGATGCGCACGAACCCTCCATGCGCTATCGACTCTTCCCACCGATGGGCCTCGACCTACCACGAGAACAAGTGAGTTTCGACACTCCCTGCAACAGATTCGAGTGCGCCAGTCGGTCATAAGACACGTCGCGCACATGCACATGGCAGCCAAAGGAATCGGATATACTTCAGTGTCGCCGCGCTCCTTTCTGTACTGCGCCCACACGGGATTCGAAGGCGCGCCGCCTTCTCCGCCCGTCGACGCCGAGTCCGCGTAGTACGTGTCGAGAAGCTCCACGAGCGGAAAGTCGAGGTCGAATTCGCCGAGCAATTCCAAATCTCCCGGCGCGGACGTCAAGAAGGGGGTGATGGCGGCGGCGGTGGCGTCCACCAAAGACGACGCGGTGTAGTCGAGTTTCAGCTGCAACGTGCCCAAGATGGACTCTTTCTCGTCTTGGAGACGAGTCGACGACGCGAGAATTGGGTACGACGCCTCCACACTCGACCTACCCACGCACAAGCATCGGCACATGCGGTCAGATCACAGGGCTCGACAAGCCACGACGAAAGCCAGCCCGGTCGCAGCCGTCAAACGTCATGAAGGCGAAAGCGTACTTGGTCAAGCCATTCGGGCCGAACAGATCCTTGAGCGAGACAAAGACCCGGCCGATCTTGGTCGTTTTCACACGCATCGTGACTTCAAATACGTTGACAACGAGGAGGTCGGGAAGGCCGCCGAAGGACCCGACGAGGCCGACGCTCTGGCATTCCTCGCATGCAGCGCATTCGTGGTCGTCAAAGGCCCAGTGCAACGACTCGTTCCACGCCACTGTCTTGCACGTCTATCCCGACCAAGTCAAACGTTGCGGCATATGAAAACACGCACCGTGCCGCAACTCCGCTGGTTGATCTGCTTCACTGGGATCACGGACAGATCGTGCAATTCGGCTTTGAACTTGACGACCGCAAAGAACGATCGAAGGGACGTATCCTTGTGCGCCAAGACGTTGAACGTCTCGATGAGTACGGTCAAGTCGTGCTTCATCCGTGGCGCCGACCGGCCACGCGAATGCAAGGGGTCGAGGCGGCCTACCGTCGGTGAGTTGGTCAAGTCAACGAGATGGGGGAACTGTACCGTCAATGGCACTCTGCATCGCACGGCTCTTGAGCACAACGAGCCACTTTTGCATCTTGATGTCGTCATCGAAGTGGAAGAAGTACGTGCCGCCCAGAGTGTTGCGGACTTCCAACGTCGGTTGGTTCGAGTTGTTTGTCGTCGATGGCGCAATGTCCACGGAGAGTACGGTAAACGTGCCCTTCGGTGCCATGTTGCGTCGAGACCCTTCCGCATTCGAGTAGTACTTCACGCGCGCGTACGCGTCGACGACGACCCACCGCTTCTTCCACGTTGAGCTCGATGTTCCCTTCTTGATGGTGCAGTACCCGTCGAGCACCGAATCGCCGAGAGTCTGAACGTCTGCAAGCACGCTCTCGTCGACATTCTGCATGGCCTGTTGATGGAGGCTTTGAAACGTCTTGCGACCGCCAAGAAGGCGACTTGATGACTTGCTCTTGAGCGCGCGGCGATACGCGTCGCCACCGAAGAGTGCTCGCACAAGCATGAGAAGCGACGCAATCGAGATGGAGGCCATCATGACGACCTCGGGCCAGGTGGACGAAGTTGGCGGCGTCGATGGAGTCGCGCACACCGGCGCCGCGGCGGAGCCAGCATCGTCTCCCATCGCGTTCCTACACACAGACGACACGTGCACAGGTGTGCAACAAAAGCCCAACTTTAGATTTTATTGTCCAAATCGAATATTTCTATGATTTCACTGTGCAATTGTATCCCCGGCTGGAAAATAGTTTAAACGTCACTGGACAAAAGAGTGACGGTTGTTGAGACGCCTGTTTCCGTGCCCACATGACAGCACGACCTTGCTTTGAGGAGGACTCCGGCGGTAGACGTCGCGGAAAGAATTATGACGGTGAGCAAGACTAGCAAAAGTGTCCACTCGTACTGCATATCGAACGTCCTGTCAAGCGGAAGGCGATAAAAGCTGCATTGTGGTGGAATTGAATCCAGCTATTTTTCATGTACTGTGCTGGAGGGTAACCAGGACTAATGGTATTTATCTTATCGATTACAGTCTGAAAAGAAATTATAGACTCACCCCAAAATTTTCACCTTCTCAAGTATCTGTAAGGACAGCGGTTCAAGCCGATACGTAGTCCATACAGTCACGTTCTCAATCGGCAGGCTGCAAAAGGATTTGGGATGAAGCCATGCCAGTAAAGAGAAACGTGCCATCGTCAATATTTGGCTGAAAAGAAATTATAGACGCACTTCATAATTGGAGCAAAAGTGTTCATTTTTGTCCTATAGAAGCGCTGTTTCGACTGTTGAACGCAGAGAAGGACATCGAACGACACCCTGGCCTTGTCAGTACCAAAATTGACTTCGAAGACATGCCTCGGGGCAAAGGTATCACCGACGAAGAGAAAGGACAAATTTAGCCTTTCGCAAGCTTCAAAAGAGCTGTCGGTGGATTGCTAAAGCAATCAACCGAAGCGACAAGCTTGTGCGAACGTTTCAACAGAATTGCGACCAAGCCGCAAGAAAACCCAGGAAGACGTTGTATCCTCACCAGTCGCGAGATCCGACGCATTTTCAGGCTTGCTACACGGAAGATAATGTCGTCAAGGCAAATTTCTAAAGCACTAGGTGGAAAAGTGAGTCAAACTACTGTCGTTAACGTGTTGCATGCGTCCAAAATTCGCAAAGTACATGAAACGCCGGTCTGGACCGCGCCTAACACCCAAGTACAAAAAGGACCGAGTCAACTTTGCCAGTCGACACCTCCATAAGGCCGCGAAATTGAAAGCGACTATGTTTACCGACGAAAAAATGTTCAACCTAGACCGTCCAGACGGTTCTCAGTACTACTGTCATGACCCCCGGCAAGACGAGTAAACTTTCTCCAAGCGTGTGGGTAGTGGCGGTTCTGTTATGGTTTGGGGAGGGGTAAACTTCTACAACAAGACGGAGCTAGCCATCCTAGACGTCGACAAGACTCGAGAATGGCCCAAACAATCCTTTGCCGCGGTATTTGCATTGATAAATAGCCCTTATAACGAAGTGCGTCTATAAATTCTTTTCAGCCAAAATTTTGACGAAGGGACTTTTCTCTTTATTGACATGGCTTCATCCCAATCCTTTTGCACCCTGCCGATTGAGAACATGACTGCATGGACTACGTATTGGCTTTAATCGTTATCCTTACAGATACTTGAGAAGGTGAAAATTTTGGGGTGCGTCTATAATTTCTTTTCAGCCTGTACTTATATCGATGTAGAGGAGCGCCATGAACTGAAAACTTTAAAGCGATGTGTACCCCAAATTATTTACGTCACCGGAAGCTTTTGATCGTTCGCTCGCTACTAACTGTAAATCTGTTGCGCTGCTCCCACCAACCTGCAGCATCAGCAGCGTCATCAAATGCCTCGAGATATCGACAATAGGTCTTTCCCTTTTCGTTCGTGCATTCAATGCAGTTGTAGAGTGTAGCATAGGAAAGCTAGCAAATGTTGAGTGCAGGCAAACCCGCACATTCGTGACGATGGCTGGCATTTGCAAGGCTTCGGGGCTAACATGTGGTCGGCCGAGGCGTCGGAGTCGAGCATGATCAGATACTAAGTGGTACGTACGTCCCATCCACGACCGACAGTACCGCATCGGCTACGTCTTCACTGTTCTCGCTAGGTTGTGGGGACGCGTGGGACGACACTGTCTCGTCTTCCGATTCGGCATTGTTTCCAGCAGGGGTGACAGTGGAGAGGAGGTACGTGTACGTGTGTCGTCGTTGCCCTGATGTCTTCCACCGATGCCGAGGAGCGTAATTGGGAGGAGGAAGTCATTGTCGGCGATCTATGTGTCGTAGGACTTGAACCCAAGCCACGAGTAGTACTTGGAATTTTCATGCAGCGCGCACGCGAATGCGCTCTAATTAGCCATCGAAGGTAGAGCCAGGAAGTAGTAATGTAAGAGGTCAGTGGGGGTGGATTGGGTGGCTTTGGAATCCACGAGGTCTTGGCGGCTCATGAAGGTGAGGTCGTACGGGATTCTACCAATGGTTAGTTGTCTGACACGTCGTTCTATGGGTGACCAGACTGGGAAACTGCGGAGTGAAAGGGTTTCGCTGGCTTCCCCAACGTAGATGGGGCGGCATCGCCGGCATCAACGACAGTGTGTCGATTTCCTTCCTCTTCTTCCGACTTGTCACCTGAGTCGTCCACCTTTAGGTCGTATCAGTACTCGAATATCGAGACAGGTGGATCACTGTGTTTGATTGTCATTCGTTGGCGTGCCTTGGCTCCGTGTCGCCCATTTTCGCGAGATTTTTTGCGGCAATGGACGGTCAGTTTAGCCTTACTACTGATGTGGGATGTGACTTTGGTTGAAGTGCGCTTGCCGCATTCTGCAACGTGTTGCTGAATTTGAAACCGCGTCGGCTTGTGGAAATAGGGCATGGTCTTCGTTGGCTTGGCAACGCGACGTTTGATTACGCCATTCCGAATGGCGGCTTTCCGTTGGGCTTCGAGTGAGACATTACTTGGAGACGATTTGTTTTTCGTCGGAGTTCGACAACCAGTCCACAAGGCGTCGGAACTCCCACGACATCAAAGCAAGAAACGAGATTACTTGATTGGCTTCACACTCACCCGCGCGTTCACCGTGTAGGAGGTTCCAGTACTTGGAACCGGTAGATGAAGTCCAGTACTGTCTCCTGGCACAGATCCCAGGTGAGCATGGCACGTTCTTCGCGACTTGGATGCGGCCGATCATAGTTGACGGCTGATGGTGTACAACGAGTGATTCGTAGGCTGTGTGGACGGACATGCGTGATGCCCTCGATTTATGTAAAATTTTATATAGTATTATATTGGTCGTCCAGTCGCTGAAGTTGAACTCGTTGAACATCAGTGTGGAGGTAATGGTCGCCATTTATTCTCTTTGCATGATTGTTGTGCCTTGTGCTTATATTGGACTCAGAATCTTATAAATTTATGTGGATGTGTCCAGATCGACGGTCGGGCAGAGGTTAAAGGTCGCAAGCTTGAGCAAGAATCTCAAGACAAGGAGGCAACTCGAGAGAGAATGATGTGGTTAATGAACTCTTTCCTATGTCCAGATATTCTTCTTTCGGCTGTGTGCATGACGAGCTTGACGCTCGTCCTTCAGCGACCTATCACCGTTGCTGGCAGATATTAAAAGTGCAAATAATGTAATTCACTATCCTCACTATGACCTTTCGTGACCGAGTACTTTCTTTCAGAATCCGGATGATTCGTCCTCATTGAGCGCAGAAACTTCAACACACCTGCATGGTGAGGCAATCATTGGTGAAAGGAGGGTGCAAGAAGCACTTTTCAAAGGCCATTTCGGAAACACAAGGAAAGACGACGATGGATATCCGTGCTATCGCCGCCACAACATCTACTATCACAACGACGTCATGTCACGTTGCGTCACATTTTCCGTTTCGTCCCTGTTATTATATTAGACTGTCAAAGTTGAAGTGTGCTCAACCATCGCGAGCGTCGAATACTTCTACCAATGCGTAGCCCAGGAAGGCATAATCTCTCAAAAATAGATTAAACGATGTCTGCCAAGAGAACTTGCAATTTTCATTTTCTTACTGAAAGGACATTGTAATCACACGGCGACCATATGGAATTGTCGAGAAGCAAAGTTGACTCGAGCTTTTTGTGCTTGGTTGCTAGTCGGGGTCCAGGCTGGCGTTTCATGTATTGTCTTTTCTGGTTAAAAAAGTTCGTTGGACCATCTCGTCCGTAGTTGCCCCACGCAACTCCCGAAGAGGCTTCGGAAGTCCTGCGTGCAAGCAGAGGAGGTGGACGCAGTAATGGAGTCGAGAGGGGTGGCAACATCGGGGGTAAAGCTCCTGGGAGTGCGGCTAACAGCGGGGCCGGAATCGACGGTGGTCGGGGTCAAGCACGGATGCAAGTTAATACCCTCAAGGCTCCGACCGCGTCGGTTCGGACCTCGAGGATCGATTGTGTGGTCGAAGGTATA